GAGAATACATGAAAACAGGTCTGTAATTGTCCCAGCTACTCACTCATTAAGAAAAGGGGGGGGTGTCTGTTGCTTGAGGGCCCTTTAATTTACTTGCATAAGTTCAATCACACATTTTTTCTGATTACTGTTATCACTGTATTTATTTACAAACACTGTTAAATACTATGCTACACTAAATATAACTCTCTTTGGAAAAATAAATCCATTGCTTTTCTTTTTGTTTAGTTAAATAATTCCATAATAAATTAGTCCTCTGGGCTTCCTTCAAAGAGGGACTGTCTTACACTGATAGTGCTATTTTGAAGCATACATAGCAATGACATTTTTACATGTAGGAAACACATACTAGATATGAATTCTTTGCCGTTCAAGTAGAGAAAAAGGTGTGTAGGATGGCATCCAACAAGGGTAGCAAGTGAGAAACCAGTTTTTCAAAAGGGGAAAGATTATACACTTGGGGAAAATTATACACTGCTCAGTTCAGTGTCTTTTTTGGGAAAGCACAAATGACCAAACTCATAGAATAACAAAGAAAGAGAAATGGCCACAGATTCTGCAATAATAAATCCTTCCTCACCACCATTCAAATATGGGGAAGTAGATGACCATGTCAGTATGGTATACTAGGATTTTAAAATGGCATCTTTTGGGGTGAAATATTTTGATATTATATTTGATGTGTCTCCCACTCATTTTATATCTGGCAAATTCATCAAAAACTTATCTTATGAACTCTGTAATTACATAATGATTAGTACTTCATTATCCATGTAGCATTTCAACATGCATTCCTTTTCTTAAATTTTAATCCCAAATATTTATTTGTCTGTATGAATTTTGTCTATGAAAACATCTATACCAGTCAGAAATAATAAAGGATACAGTGGGCCTTTCCACATTGAACAACTCATGCCAAGTATTCTACTTGTTTTAATTTTTGCTATTTAAACTTCTCTCCTGGGTTCATTTTCTTTAAAACTGCTAATAAGAAAGGTTATCCCAAATTATCAAAGTCTTTTTCAGCATCTAAAAATACCACTGCTATCTTTTTTAGTAACTGTTGATATATTCTAATGCATTTATTTAAAAAATCTACTGCCATCCTTAATTTTCCTCTTGAAATATAATCTGTTTAATCTGTTTGCATTATTTTAGAAATATTGTATTCCTCCATTTAAAGGAATTATTTTTTTTTATTTTTTTGGAACCATATTATTGGGCTATGATTTGCAACTGTGATACAGTTCTTCCTTAATGGTGATATGAAAGCCTTGGATAATCAGCAAATGTCAGTCCTGGGATGTTTAATGCTTTCCCTAATAAAATATCTAGTCCTTTCTTTTTGAATTTTGTACTCTCCAGGCACGTATCAAAGCCCAGTATATTGAACGACATTTGGGGAGAGCTTTCCCATTTTTTCTCCATGAAATGAGAAATACTACATATGCATACATAACAAACATATATGGACTCACCAGGAGAATTTGCCTTGGTTCTGTAAATTGTACCATGCTACATTTTATAGATCCAGTTGTCCAGGCTATCCAAATCATTAAAAAAGAATCTGATGATACTTCATTTTTTTCATAAACTGAAAGTGCAGATACTTTGTGAAAATTCTCAGAAACTTGCAGTATTTACTGGTTGAATGGCTGTACATCAGAATAGGAAATACATTTCTTTAGTATTATTTTTGATTGCTTATCAAACTTGCTGGAGTCTCCCTATTGGCAGTGGGGTTAATTAAAAGATTGTAACAGTATAAATAAAGCAAATGGGACTGGTAGGAAAAGATACAGTATATCCTAATTCTTAATAGGATTACTGCTAGCCAAACCTTCTGTCAAGTCAAGTCACGTCCCTGCTTGGTTTTGAAATGAAGCAAATCTCAACAGCACCCCATTTCAAGAGAACATTTCAAGATCAAAACATGACCTCCAATTTTAAAAAAGCATTCCCTATTTTGGCTCTTCTTGTTTTCAGGAAGTGAAGTCCTTGGGATGTTTTGTCTTCCAGTCCTTACTGCTTGTATTGTAAGAATTTTCTCATTTTGTTTCACAAAAATGAGCACACATTGGAAAAATGATGAAACTCACTTAAGGTATTAGTGAGAGGGAAGAAAAAACAAGTGCCATCTCCAAATACATTTACATAGTGCTACCAAGCTAAGTAGTAGTAAACAATGATTTGGCATTATAAAATATGGCATCCCAAAATCAAGATTTGTAACATGTTAAAAAGACAAAAGAAAAGAAAGAAATTATCTATAGCTTTTGGAAGTAGCTGAAATAATGTCTCTGTTAGATAACATTCCAGGGTCATAACCTCCTAAGCAGCATAAAGCTAAGCTGTTTCTAAGTATATACTCCTCTCTAGAGCATATTAAAACAAGGGCAAGGTATAAAGAAATAGGCTATCTTCAAAGATATTAGTAGACCCAGGTGTCAGTGTAGTGATTTACTGCTGTGCAAAAAGAAACCATTTCGTGGTGGAAAAAATAGAGTGCAATCTTAAGTAGCTTCATGTTTCAGTAAAAGTAATCATTTTTGAAATGATTGGATAGAATTATTAAAATAGAAGAAGCCCAGCTGTTCAGTTGTAATACCATAAAAATGTATTTTTTTGGCCAAAAGAAAAGATATGTTTGTAATTAGCCTCTCCTCCAGATCCATTGGCAGTGAAGTAGCCCTTGTGATATCTACATCCCAATGGCAGTTCTTTTGGAAAGAAGTGCAGAATGAGATCAGAAGTATTAGAAAACTATGTTCTCCTACTCAGACAAAAGGACAAATATCTCTCACCATATACTTTCAAGAACATTTACAGCCTAGAAGTAGAAATGAAAGTCAGGGAAAATACCAGGTCATATCTATACATTTACATATCTACACATTTACATATATGGATTCCTAAGCTAGGACTGGGCATTTTCAATGCTTCATAGACAAAGCTAAGCACATTCAAGATCACAATCCTATATATACTTGGGAGTAAATTCTGTTAAACCTCCTATGACCTATTTCCAAGTAGACAGGCATAGGATTTCATTATAACAATAAAAATGATTTTAAAAGGAATATTTTCTTTAAGTAATATGATTTGTAAACATATTTTTCATATAAACGTAGCCAGTAATTAGTTTGAATTTTTAACCAAAGTGGTTTAATTTGAATATTTGCCAGACGGCCTGCTAAATCTACTTCTGACAATTTTAATTACATTTCTGCAGGCCTGAATCCATGATTCGCCAATACTTTGCAAAAGTATGTTGTTGTTGTTTTAAATTAAAAACCCAAAGTTTTGGGATTGAAGATTTCATAGATTTTCAGACGTTCTAATGTTAGCTTAACTAGTATGTTAAGAAAACATAGTTTTTCCAGAAAGTAAGTCACTGATTCAGTGAATTATGTACTAATTGAGAAGAAATTAGCTTTCTGATATCTCACTGTATGGTATGCAAATTTTGGCAGCTGTAGACACTGATATTTGTGCTATTTGGAATCTGTCTTAATAAATTTAGACAACTCTCAGACACTCTTGCTCTAATTTGCCTATAGAGATATGAATGCTTTATGGGAAAAGTAATTTTATCATTAATAATTCTGCTTAATTATCTTACCAGTATTAACTTTTGTGTGAAAGAGCACAAACAGAAAACACTCTATTTGTCGCCATTTATCAGTGATAATTGTGTAATTTAAAATACATTTTAAAATCCCTGCAATCTAGAACAGTTTCCTTCATCTAAAACCTTCAAGTTATGTTATGACTCCTGTTTCTGAAATATCCATAGTCCTTTCTTGAACTGATTTAGGGATTGCTATCATATTTTAAAGGCAAACTATTTTAAAGTAATGTCATGTTAATTCTCCATTACATTATTTATTTGTCTTAACAGTGAAAAATTTTGTGATATGTATCTGTACCTTAACACTATTTTAGTAGGCTTTCTCAATGCTTATATCGCTAGAAATAGAATGTAATTCTCAACAGTTACCATTGTTAAGGAAAGAAATCTCCTTACACATAAATTTGAGACAAAATTTTAGCTTAAGTTACAGTCATAGCTTATCACTAAAATTAAGCCTGCAATTCCTTTTTATCTGATAGAGTCTTACATTTTTAAAGCCTTTATTTTTGTACCCTAGTATGAAACAATTTTACATTTAAAGCTTTTATCTTCATTTCAGAGGTAAGGGTATTTGATACGCAAATGAGTATAAGCAATAGTACAGGGTAATTTATATAAAAGTATACATTCATCTTAAAATAATGAAAAACTAATTAATTATTGCCATTTACAATATAAAGAACAATAGATTAAGTTCCATTTTATACGATGTAAGTTGGAACTTTGCCAGTTTCCATTCTGTCTGATTAGCGCAGTTACAGAAGTAGAACAGTATCACAATATCTTGATTCATGTGATAAAGATATTAATGAGAAATACCAAGATAATAAAAGTTCTAATTAAAATTCAATAAAAAATAACTATGAGAGAAATACAGAATTTAAACTGCAATCTGTATATAAAGACTGCCTTCTTTTAATTCAGAAATCTTGCTCTGCTTTTGCCACTACCAAAAGCAATAGCAGTCAGTGAATGGTGAAAGTAAATAGAATAAAAATGCTAGCTCCATTTATCTATAAAGAAAAAATGCCTGCTTATTATATTTAATTAATAGCAGTGAAAATAAAAGGGGAGAGAGGCAATGAAAAAAAAATGCTATAACTAAACTATGGGCCTAAGAAAACTCACAGAAAAAATATTACGAATTTGTATACATCACTAACTCATCTAACTGAAGAGACTGAAACTTGCCTTTTCAAAATGTGTAGCATGTTAGCTTTAGAAAAGTGCAGTTCATTAAAAATCATAACTTATGAAAAGCTAAGCTTGGATAAGATTTTGAACTGGAACTGTGCCATTTTTATATAAATATTGGTGAAAGATACTATAGATCTCATTCTATTCTCCACACTTATCTTTTCTGCAGGCAGGGGACAAACATTACCATCCAAGTTGTGCACGATGCAGCAGATGCAACCAAATGTTCACAGAAGGAGAAGAAATGTATCTGCAAGGTATAGAAATTATATATTGATATATATGTAGGCAGAAGCTTCAGCTAATGCTGAATGCAGAAACATGGGCAGTTATAGTATGCCCCAACTTCCAGGTGCAATTCAAGATGTTGGTTATTACCTATAATGCTCTACGTGGCATGGTTTTTTAAGGAATTTCCATAGTTTCTTATCATCCTGTATAAGTGGATATAGTTGGCATGGTCCAGGTACCATCCATTAAACATGATGGGGCCTAGGAAGCTCACCTCTGTCACAGGACCTGTCCTCCAGGAACATGTTAACAGGGTCTTCAAGACTGAAATGAGGTTATAATAGAACTGTTTTGCTTTCAGTGTCATAAATTAATCTCTGTGGATTTTCTTTCATCATTTTTTTCTGATTCTGACCAAATATAAAAATGTTGGTTTGCTTCAGTTCATATCCCTATCCAGGGGTGTTATTAGGAAATGATAAAATAGGATTAAAGTATAAATCAATATAGAATTTCCTGAATCTTTTTTCTTTTCTTTTTAAACCAAAAATAAGACGTACCAGAATTTACTGATAGAAAACAAGTTTTTTCTAGTGCTCTTGTGACTATAACATGTTTCCATTATTTATCAGCAACAAAAAACAAAGTGAAGGAGGGTTATTTTGAAAATTTAAACTTTTCTTACAGTGATGCACTGCGAAACTATATGATCTGGAAGTTTAAAGACAGAAATTTCAGTTGGGTAGTCTGTTCACTGTAAACTTGCATTAGACTTATCTATGTGCCAAATAACATAGAACATTTTTGTCATATCTTCATGTTGAAGGAGAATCTTGGGTTCTGCCTTAATCCAGTATAAACCTAAGTTCTGCTCACAGAGCTGAATTTTCCTTTTTTTCACATCTCTTTTTACCTTGCATCCACGTATCTGCCGGGGTCTCCCAAATCTGTCTCAGGAAACATTTCAATCTTCTGAGCCAATTTAGAGTGGCCCAAAAAGGTGTTGGGAAAGCAATTTGTAATATACAATTTAAGTCTTCTGTTAAAAAGAAAACTGATTCAAGTCAAGACGCTACTGCAGAAGTTTTGCAGTTAAAGAAGGTGGGAAGAATTAAAGTCACTATTTTAAATGGATTTATTCAGAGTTGAATGAAATGTAATATGATTTATCTTGCTTTTTTCCACAATAGGTTCTACAGTTTGGCATCCCGACTGTAAACTCTCTACAAAGGGAGATGAAAAGCTAAGGGTAAGGAGTAATTTGCATTTTCTGAATTTTTTAAAACTATATGATGATTTCTTTCACATACAATATTACTATTTTACAAATTTAAAAAAAATCCTTTTTATAATTATTTTACTGTTGATCTTTTTCTTGAGTTTGGTCTTGGGTTGTAAATAAAATTTTAATTTTATATGATTCCTTTAGAAATTGGAAATGTTTTTATAGCCTTAAAGATGTGATCCTGTTTATTTATTTAAAGTTAATATGACTCTAGGATAAGTCTCAGCAAAGAACAGATAATGTATAAGAATTCTGCCAATTTATGTATTTTATCATTCTGAAACCCATTAAAGAAAAAGGAATCATGAATCATTTTAATTCATGATTAAGCAATAAACTGACACTATAATCTGATATACTTATAGACTTGCATACTCACAACTGATAGAATACTCTTCCATATGTGGGGTCCATCACAGAATATTGTTCAGGTTCTGTGAAGAAAACAAAAGGAATAAAAAGCATTCTGAGTTTCTGAAAAACAGTCATGTAACATAATATTTGGCAATTTCCAATTCTAGGAAAACAGTATTCCAGTGTCGCAAGGAAGGCCTTGGAGAAAACTGTTGTGCATTTTATCATTACTTTAATTCACTAGTGTCATTTTTACATTTTTCCCTTTTCTACACCCTTATCAGTTCAGAAATATATAAATTTCATCAATACATAAATTAACTTCCAGAATTTTCAGATTTCAAAGTAATATATTCCATTCTTACTGATAATATCTGGATATGGATTTTTTCTTCTATTCCTGAAATGAAGAAGATCTTAGAAAAGTTTCCACTGGTTAAAGGAAGGTGTAAATTTTATTTCCCATATTTTCCCAAAAGATTTTTTTTTTTTGCTATGTACTCTGGAAAAATGGGATTTTTTGTCGGAAGGGGCAAAAAGAAAATATTATTTTCTTTTTTACTAGGATGGACAAAGCATTATTTGTATTAATAAATGGGAAGTTGTCAATAGTTGTTTGTGTTCTAGACAAATATATTGACCTAGGTTTTGCATCATTATCTTCATTTGGCTTCATTTTTGTGGATGGGTGGGCCTTTGAGTCTGGGTTGATTCCTAGCATATAGATCTATTCATTAAATATCCCTTTTGGATATCATTAAAATTTGTAAAGCCAGGTTAAGTAGCCACAAAGACTGAGTTATTGATAAATAGTAAAGTCAGAAGTATGATTCTTTTAAAAGAATGATTCTTGTTAACTTCCTGAGTCTTGGGACGTGGGCAGGATATAAATGCTAATAAACAAACACATTTGTTGTAGGATTAGTTCATCTCTAAGTTGAAGATCCAAACATGCTGTTAGCCAGATTGTTTATGTGTTGTTATTAGTGTGGTAATAATTCTCCAGCTAATTGTTATTGACCTTTCAAAACCATTTAGCAAAATTCCCCGTTTCCAAGGAAACGGCAGCTATTCCTTTCTTTCTCTCCTACATGAGCCAGTGCTTGTCTGGCTCAGTGTAAAAAGACATTTGCATCTAAAATGTAAACTATTTCTTGAGAAACAGTAGTTCCAAAAAGTGTATAGCATTACAGAGAATCAAAACTGTTCTTGTTGTATTTCCCCTGATAACCAAAATATATACAACCAGAATTATTTGTTGAAATAGCTTCAGCAGTCATCGGTACATTATACAGCATTTTGTCTACAACGGATCTTGGACTGCATGCTTCTTATTATCGCGAGTTCCTGCTGGGTTAGATTTTAGGTGGAGTCCATAAAAGCAATGATTATTTAAGATCTGTTCCTCTTGGGAGATTTCCATAGAAGGCTATGGATGCCAGAAAAAGCAAGAAATAAAGTAATCAGGTATAAAACTGTGCAGAATGTTAATAGCTTTCTAACACTGCCCATAATCAGTTTTTCTTTTTGAGGGGATTGACTGTTTCTCTAACTGCTGTCATGTACCAAATATCACAATGATTATAAGGAGAAAATTTTTATGGAGAGGGAGGAACTTCTTTTTAATATATATGTTTAGGAAACCTTTCTCCTTTTTTCACTTTTCCTTGTTGTTTCTGTTTTATAACAGCATTCCTCGTCTGATTTCTTTTATCCAAAGAGTTTGGTTCTTCGCAGGCCTTACTCTTCAGAGGTTTGCTATTGTGCTACTTCTTTCTGCACTCACATTTTCAGCTGCTACCCCCACTTCTTTCACTACCCTTACTTTTCATTTTTTTAACCACATAAGGCACACTTGATTTTGAATTTTCACAAGCAGTGTCACTACTTGCTTCTAATGTATATGTTTACATAGATTGCAAAGACCAAAGAATAAGGATGCTAAAGAAACTATATTGAGACACTATTTATGTAGTGATACCATGTTAGTTCTTAAGGAGAAAAAGTATGAATGAAAATCATTTTATTTTTCATGTAAGTCGTTCAAATGTTAATAGTCCTTTGAATTCTGGAAGATTTCATTTTAAAAGAAAAATAAATCAGCAGATCATCTTTGGGCAGAAAAGACATTCTTCAGTTTCTGTTTTGTACAAAAACATCTTATGTAAATAGTGTATCCCAGAGTTTAATGATGAAACAGGCATTCCTATGCTTAACTATTTACATATTTATTTAAGCATTGTTTCTCAATCTAATCTCCATAGTTTATATTCCCAGTTTTCAAAGTTGACTCAATTTAGATACTCCCCACTTTGGTAATACTAGTAAGCAATGTATTTAGGCCCAACTAGTTGACAATGTTTTATTAAAGTGTAGTAGATTTTGTGCACAACTTAAAACAGTTCTGTATATTTGTTTGCAGTTGTATGTATTTTTGTGTAAGCATGATAGCATGGATAATGTATATATATTGCACACCGATTTTATTTGGTTGCTGTTCAGATCAAATATTTGGCTGTAATTCAAATTGTTACTTATTATAAAATACATTCTTAGAATGTGTATTTTATATGTAATGGAGAACAAATTCACTGAGTGATGTTTTTAAAGGGTGTTTGCTGTTCTGTGATAAGTAGATGCAATAGTTAAAGTTCTTGAGATGGAATAGTTACAGTTTCTTGATATTAATTTTCATCAAAGTTTACAATCTTCTCTGGCAAAGATTTTCAGTGTTTAATGTCTTATAAAAGGAACTTGAAAAGCTGAAGACATGGGTTTGCTAGCTGACCTGGGAACCTCAGAGTAATATGGAGTTCATCAAGTGGTTTGTTTGATTATTGTCACAAAGGGTAGGGTTGGGTGGGGTCATTAGTTTTGTATTTGATGTTTACTTTTGCAAGCTACCTGGAGTTGCTGTGAGTGGGTTTGGCAGCCATATACATTTTCTTAATCAATAAAATTGAGCAGAGTAACTTTTTACTATTACTAGTCCTAGAGCAGGGGGTCTGCAACCTTGACAACTTTAAGACTTGTGGACTTCAGCTATGCTGGCTGAGGAATTCTGGGAGCTGAAATCCACAAGTCTTAAAGTTGTCAAGGTTGCAGACCCCTGACCTAGAGAACATTTCATTTATTAAATTTCTATCTGTCAAATAGCAAGACCAAGCCAGAGATGCGATGAAAGATATCATTTATTTAAAAGATTTCTTAATCTTTTAACAGCCTTTCTTTTTTACTGATGAGAAACAGTATTCTTTGACCATGTGTATTGAATAAGACATCACTTTGCTATTTAATACTTTATTCCCTCTTCTACCTTAGATGCCTTTTATTATTTCACCGCAGAATAGATTCTGGTTGTTTGGGGGAGGGAAATGTATGAGCCAGGAGAAACAAAATGGATTGATGGTCAAGTAAAACACATGTATGATTTTTTTCCATTGTTAATGCTGTCCTGAAGCCATCAAGAGGTGATGGATAAAATAAGGGTCATATTAGCTGTAAGATGTTATTTTTTATACAGGTAGTCCTCTACTTACAACAATTTGGTTAGTGATTATTCGAAATTACAACAGCATTGAAAAAAGTGACTCATGACTGTTTTTCACACATACAACCATTGCAGCCTCCCCATGGTCACATGATCAAAATTCAGAAGCTTGGCAAATATAGTATCCCAGGTTCATGTGACCACCTTTTGTGACCTTCTGACAAACAAAGGCAATGGGGACCCCAGATTCACTTAACAACAGTGCTACTAGCTTAACAACTAAGGTAGTGATTCACTCAACAACTCTGGCAAGAAAGGTTGTAAAATAGTGCAAAACTCCCTTAACAACTATCTTGCTTATCAACAGAAATGTTGGGCTCAATGTGGTCATAAGTCAAGGACTACTTATATAAGTTAAGGAGCTAATGTGGATTATTTTGGTTCATTTCATAATTCCTTAAATTAATAGGGATGTAAATTTTAAAAGCTACGTAATACAATAAGAACCAAATTAAGCAGAATGTCAAACGTTCCTTGATGGATTTTGTATATTTTCAAAAAGTAAAATTCAAAGGAAAGTTCAAGTATGATTGTAGCAGCAGAACTTGTAAATGAAATATGTGATCTTTTATTCATGAAGCCTTTATATACATAAACAAAGGTGAAAAAAAGTTTAAAAATATAGATTTCCATTCCTTTCCTAAGTCATTTCCTGGACTCTTGTGTGCAGTTTTAATCTGAGCATAATAAATTGATGATGTTTATGTTGTGCATAATATGGTAGCTTTATTATATATAATATTTAAATTATAGTTAGCATTGCAGTGACAAGCTAAAACAACACGTGGTCTCACGTCCGTTCTTCTCCAATATAGCCACAGAAGCTTCAATTTTTTTTAAGATTAACTAAAAAAAAACATATTAAGTAAGTAAGTAAGTAATGTATTTTCTCCCCATTTTGCCACAATGTGATTTTTATTAGGACCTGGGCAGTTTTATCATTCTGTTATCAAAATAACCCAGTGCCAAATCCTATGTTAGGATTTCATCTTTTAAAAAATTACCTCAAAAGTGTTTTTTCAAAAGGCAACTGGGCTGTTTTTTGTTTGAGGAAGACATTTCACTTCCCATCCAAGAAGCTTCATTGGTTCTGGTTTTGGTTCTGTGGAATCTCTATGGACATTTTAAAAAATTACAATTTACGGTATGGAAATGTCCTAAAGCAAGTTAAAATTTAAAGAAGGCTAACATTTTCTAGTTTTCACAAAGGTTAATTGATAGAGGAAGCAAGGATGTACAGATTAAAGTCTCACTGCTGTACAGGTAGTCCTGGAATTACAACAGTTCATTTAGTGAGCATTCAAAGTTACAGAGACACTTTAAAAGTGATTTATTATTGTTTTCCACATTTATGATCATTGCAGCATCCCCACAATTACATGATCAGAATTCAGAAATTTGGCAACTGACTCATATTTATGATGGAGTCATGTGATCACCTTTTGCAACCTCCTGACAAGCAAAATCAATGGGGAAGCCAGATTCAATTAACAACTGGGTTACTGACTTAACAACTGCAGTGATTCACTTAACAACTGTGACAAGGAAGGTCTTAAAATGGGACAAAAATTCACTTAGCAAATCTCTCACTTAGCAATAAAAATTTTGGGCTCAGTTGTGGTCATTAATTTGAGGACTACCTGTACCGCCTCATAATGATCAGTCATAGCCTAGCACAGTGATGGTGAACCTTTTAGAGACCCAGTGCCCAAAAACTGCCCCACCCCGTCCCCGCTCTGCCCTGCCCGCTGGGCTATCCACCACCTCCACGGCCCACCACAGATCACCCAGGCAGCTCAGCAGCACCCTCTGCCCTTGCCCTGCAGCAACATCTACGCACGATGGGGCACAAGGGCAAAGTGTTGTCCCCACTGCCTGGCTACCATGTCCTTGGCGGTGCTGCTTTGCGTGGCCCGTGACTCTCCGGGGAGGCTGCTGGTGAGGAGGGGGCTGTGAGATGAGGCGGGGCTGGGGTGACAGTGTGTGCCAACAGAGAGGGCTCCAAGTGCCGCCTCTGGCACGCATGCCATAGGTTCACCACCACTGGTTTAGCATTATGTACAAATGCAAACTATTTATATAAAAAAGATGCTATAAAATTGGTTCTGTAAACCAGTATCTGTCTAAAAGAGGGATCCCCAACCTATGGTCCGTGGCCAGTACCAGACCACTGGCTCCGGAAATAGCTGGCGAGCCCCATCCCATTTGCACATGCGTGGGGATCCTAGCACCGTCGCCAGCGTCATGCAGGTGCCAGCAGCTCATTTGCACATGTGCACGTGTGCTAGCATGTGTGCTGTAGGTGCATGCAGCCCATTTGCGCAAGTGTGCAGGCACCTACTTGCACATGTGCATGCATGCTAGCGCCACTATTGTGCACGTACCTGTTTCTGCACATGCACGCGGGGCTGCACATGTGCACATTTCCCTGCTGCTCCCTTTCCTTCCAGGCCACCAAGCTAGAAGGTTTGGGGAGCTGTGGTCTAAAAAACAAAGTGACCTTGCTAATTTTCTTTTTGTGGGCCCCAGAAGTTACTCCAGAGTGAGTAGGCCCTAATGTTTTTCAACAATTTGAGTTAAAAATAATCAAATTAGACAGGATTAAGAGGGCAAATGTCTTACATTGTCTTGTACTTAAAATCTCTTCAAACTCCCTCAGAAAGACTTTTGGTACCTCCTATTGTAGTCTTTGTGTCATATAAAACCTGATATAGCCCTTGAAGTGATGGAGGTTGCACATTCCTGCTGTAAAAGAAAAAAAATTATCTAAAACATAACTGTGTTCTAAACATGTACTTAAGCATGTATGAGTCACATTCTTCCATATCTAAGAAGCTGTTCTTTGGGCTTGTTACATGGTAATTCTATATGAATGCAGTATGATTGCAAATACAAACCAAACTATTCCTTCTTCTCCAGCTGTTTTCACCATCTTGTATACTGAACACCATCAAAACGTTAAGGCAGGTACTGTAAATTGTGCTGGATCAATGTCCTTGTATCTGTTAGTAGTGCATCCAGTTGGTTTGATGTTCAAGGAATTATTATTGATACAATGAATTTACCCTATTTAATTCTCCAGAGCATGACTTGAACATCTGCAGTTCAGAGATGGGCAGCATCACATCACTATCACAGAAGGATGTGAATGGCTCCAGTGTTGCTTTGTTTTAATTTTTTAAAGATTATCTGTATAAATTACAGTCCATGCATGGCAAAATCAGTGTCAGAGTAAAACAGAGGTGCTGATTTTGAGATATGAACCAGTTTTTCTTTTTATTAACAAAGGAGTTCCTTGGGTTAATGCTGCATATAAATATGTCAACTTTTAAATGCAACAATTAACACAAATGTTGTGTCAGTGTGGTATACTAATTTAGATTTTGGATTAAAACTTGAGAAACCCAGATACACATTCTCATTTTACCATGGAATTAATATCTTTGGACCAGCCAGCTTCACTTGTATGTTATTATAAAGATAAAAAGAGGAGAACAATTGTAGTGTAATAGTTAAAGGCACCAGGCTAGAAGCCAGGAGACTGTCAATTTTAGACATTGTATAAATATTAATCCAATTAGGTGATCTGAGCCAGTCACTCTCTTTCAGTCCTAGGAAGAAGACAGTGGCAAACCATTGCTAAAATGTTACCAAGAAAATTTCATGGACTTGTCTTGGCAGTAACTAGAAGTGGCACAAAAAATGGTGGGAGGAGGGGGCATAGAGGGAAAAAGAAAGCCTCGTATCTTGCCTTGAACTTCCCCAGTAGATCAGGGGTCCCCAACCTTTGAGGCTTGGTAGCCCGGCTGGAGGGGAGAGAAATGGGAACTGGACAGCTTGCGAGTGGACTCAGTCCTTGAGTGAATGGTGGGCTGGCGCAGTTGCGCAGCTCTTCCACAAGTGGCCGGTACAACATGCACACGCGCGATTGCCCGCTGGCTCACCATTTATGCAAAGTGAGCTATGCACGCGCACCAGCCAGCCACTCACACTGTCCAATTTCGAATAGGCCACAGCCTGGTAATAGGCCATGGCCCAGAGGTTGAGAAACTCTGCCATAGATGGTGGAATGTAGGTATAAAAATAAATTTATCCTAATACGTAAAAGAAATCTGGGAATTCTTTTTTATAAAAATGTAATATTGCAAAGAGAGAAACCATAATCATGACAACAAATGAAATAAATATATAAAGTGTAAAGAAATACCCGTAACTCTCAACTTACATCATTTGTTTAACTATCATTCAAAGTTACAATGGTGCTGAAAAAAATAACTGTCACAGTGTCCCCTTGGCCCCATGATTAGAATTTGGTCTCCTAGCAACCAGTGCATATTTTTGATGGTTGGAGAGTCTTGAGGTCGTGTGATTGCCATTTATGAGTTTTCTAGGAGACTTCCAACAAGCAAAATCAATGGGGAAGCCAGATTCACTTGATGACTGCATGATTCATTTAACAACCACCATGATTCCCTTAACAACCATGAGGGAAAAGGTCATAAAATTGATCACAACTTATTTCATGACCATGTTGCTTAGTGATAGAAATTATGGTCCCAGTTGTGGTTGTAAGTTAAGGATTACCTGTAGAGCTACTTAATGGATAGCACAATTCAAGCCCTTATTTGTAAATCAGCAATTTAAGGAACATGAAACAATATTGACAGATTCTGTCCCAGTGTAGTCAGAACAAATGTACAATGCCCTCCCATTGTACATGCCTTATTTTACATTTGAATCATTGGCATTTCATGTTCATAATGTTGAACATTCTGTAATACTGATCTTAAGGTTGCAAGTTGACGTATTCTTTCTTTGAACGGTATCTATTCTATATGCATATTTATTTTGGCATCAGTCATGTCTGACTGTTGGATGTTCCTTTCATTTAATCAAATTAATTTCACAATTAGTATCCATACAATTGCAAACTTGATATCATTAAAAAAGAGTCAGAAAAGGTTTTGTTGCAGGGGAACGTGTCACTCATTGTATGGTAGACACTCCTCATTTGCTAGTGTTGCACCTATTAGGAAATAACTCAAACAAAACAAATTAATGCTTTTAAGTAAATGCATGTTTAAAAAATACAGAAACATTTTCCGTATAGGAAATAAATGACATTGTAGGACAGGGGTGTCAAACTGCCGGCCTGCGGGCCGGACGCATCACATAGAAGCCGCGCCCACCCCATTGCCGGCAATGGCAAAACTATCCCGATATGTTGCGCGAGTCACATGATGTCACAAGTTTGACGTGTCTGTTGTAGGAGATGACTATACTGAGCCTGAGGGAGGGGAAAAACGTGTCTCAGTCATGAATCCCTGTATATCCCCAAGACATCTAACTCAGGGCTGTCAAACTCCCGACATCACGTGACATGTCACGATGTATCACAACTTTTTCCCATTACTGGTACGGGTGGGTGCAGTTTTGTTGTGATGCATCCGGCCCTTGGGCTGGCAGTTTGACACCTCTGACCTAAGTTCAGCCCATTTTGAATTCTTTTTTAACTCCCGCTTATTTCCTTTCACCCTTACTAGTTCAGATTCTTGTAGACAGCTTAACCTTATAATAAATCTTTGTGATCATTTGAATTGCCTGAATCTCCTGATTTCCCCCACACTTGAGGGACGTTATTTTTTTTTAACTTGTTTAGGTTTTCCATACATAAGTTTTAATTGAAAATATCTGGGAAAAAACAATTATAATAATCTTGTATGAGTTTGGCTGCAAGAAATGGCTTTCTAGCTGGAGCTGATTATCTGAATGAATATAATAGTTAACATTTTAGGAAGAGATCATCAAAACAAGCAACCACAAGCAAACAAAACAAGCAACCACAACCACAAGCAAATTTTACACAGTGCAGAAATTATTTTAAACACCTTGTATATTTAGAAATTTATTGATGAAACTGAAAGTTTTCTTCTGGATGCAAAAATGATAGCCAAATAAGTCAAGCCAAAAATATGATGACTGACAGAAGAATTAAAGGTCAAAATAACAGAAAGTTGATCAGCAGATAAAATTTATTGTGTTAATGAAAAAAGAAGAATTAGTTGCAAAGCAAATGAAAAGCATAAGCTTATAGTATTAATTTACAACAAGCACCAAGTATTTGTTTCCAAAATATGACACAATAGCAATATTTTTTTTAAAAAAATCTTGCTTTACAAAAACAAACATATGCTGTTGATATATTTTATGGCATGTTCATTTTGTCTCTCAGTACTGGCTTATGCCTCTAAAGATCATCTTGTTCTTTGTTATGGACTATTATGCAAGAATAATTTGTACTTTTGCTTTTTTACCCCATTTTTAAAAAGAAAAAGGAACTAAACACAGCAATTTACTGAAATTGGGGATTGGATTTCCCACCCAAAAAATTGGAAGATCTGTTATCTTTTACAAAATAAGGAAAATGTACTTTCTGCCTATCTCTATGCAAATATTTCCACAGTAATGTCTGGAATGAATAATGTTTGGTTTCTCAAATCTTGATCTTTGGTTTCTAGCCAGTGAGAGACAAAGAAAAGTTCAGCAAGAGTTTAATTATAAATGATGTTTGGTTCAAGCAGAAAAAAAAAAAAAGGAAAGCACTTATTCTGAATATTCCTTGGACCTTGAAAGAACATTTGCTGAGGGAGGGAATGTGTATATATTAGCAAGGCGATTGGTTGATGCTTTGTAGTCTTCCCCAGCCAGCTCTGTTGGATCCTGCTGCATTGACTATGAGGCAAATGAACAACATTAGTGTTTCGCTCTGAATTTGGATGAGAGATCTTGCAGTCAAGCTGGATTTGCAGTGGGGACATTCTCTTCCCATCTGTCTGTTTCAGTGGAAAAGAGAGTGTTGGCTTCCTTTAACCTTGGCGGTATTATCACATTGACTCCATGGCTGGAGTTACTTGGGATGAAAGAAGGTTACCCCTCTCTCACAAATAATAATGCTAGGCAACAGCAGAGAGGGGTTAATGAAACATGCAAATCCATATAATCAGCAAAAGATAATGTGCTGTTTAAATACAAAGGGGTCTTGCTCTAAAACAACTTGAATTGGTTTAGATATTCAGTTAAATTGTTACATTCCTTCATCAGGTAAGAAATTTTTAAATCTTGAATCTAGTTCAGCAGAGTATTATGAAGTTGATTAGCAAGTATTTCGTTCTGTGGAAGATAAATTCTTTTTCTGTTCAGATAATCTGAATATTTTGCAGTTCTTTTTAATCATATTTATGCATGCTCATCTCTTTTCTTTAACAATTGTTTTTCAGTTGAATATATTTGTGTGTGCTTTTTAAAGAAAAACAAAGCTTAGGCATATTGCCAAGATTTTATTTTATTTTGCTGCAATAAAATACAAGCTCTTAGTTTTTGTTGTTTTGTTTTTAACAGGATTTTTTGGGTCTGTGTTTTGTATGATGGATTTGGAAACATAACCCAATACCCCCCCCCCTTTTTTATTTTGGTTAAATGTGCAATGGGACAATCCTGGCAAACATTATCCTGTCTTGCAGTATCTTCATATCCCTCAGTTCATGTATAGTTCTAATGAATATATGATTTTCATTTTATGACATATGATTTTAACTATAAACTCTGGGGATATAAATTCCAGTTCTGAATGAAAATGGGGGGGGGCGAGGACTCTTATGAGCAGCATTTCCCAATCTGATGCCCTACAGATGCATTGAATTTAAATTCCCATAATTTTTTGACCACATACTCTGGAAAATATGAGAGTTTATACAATAGAGAATTTAAGTTTGGGAAAAGGAATAGAACGATAATGGAAGATGTGGGACTATTACTCACTTTATGCTTTTCTTGTGAAGTGAAGCTATTTCTAGGCAAATCTGTGAGTTTTTGTACACTAAATTTATTGAGCCACCATATTCCTAATACAAAGCGATAATAATACTTTTAGAAACCAAGAATTCATCTCAGGTACAATGTAAAAATTCTGCCTAGTCAGCTTCTTTCATTGATCATTGAAATATTCCAATGAAACAGATAAAACTAGGATAAGGTGGCCAGGGCACAAGCTGGATATTTCATTTTAACTTAGTAGACCTTTATGTGATGCCACCACATAAGGAGATGAAAACCACCACTTAGTTGTTTCTGTTTTCCTATCTCTGGAGTAGTTAGGGAATCCTATGGAATGACCAGGGTAAGAGGAAAAAACAAGCCAAAGCAGCAGTGCCTGCTAGATCATGGTTTTTCAAAAGACATCCCCAGTCTGAAGTATTGGGCTATACAGGTTCTTCTGCAGACTTGCAGGAATTAGCAATAATTGTCTTCTAAAACTGTGGTGTTTTTTAGTCCTCCTTGTGTAGAACTTAGCATGAAAAGCTCTTCCAGTCCATAATACTGGGTAACCTCTCTGTAAAGATAAATACAACCTGCTTCATAAGACAAAAATGTTTTTGCGGAATTTTCCTTTAAGAAAGAAAAAAACAACTTGAAAACAATTTGAAAATGAGCTTAGCTTTGAATGTTCCCAACAGGATATCTAACCCAGCCATGTTTTTACAGTGTTTTTTTTTTTTTCCCCTTACAGCCTACCCGGACATCCTCAGAGAGTATTTATTCTAGGCCTGGATCCAGTATTCCTGGCTCACCAGGACATACAATCTATGTATGTATACTTTCATGAAATATTTTATTAATTAGATTATGATATAGTGTTATGTTTTTAGAAATGTACTTATTTAGATGTATTGTCATTTATGAAGAAAAACAAAACAGTTCATTAACTGGAAAATCAGAATTACTTGCTCGTGTTAATTCATTTTTATCAATTAGATTAAAAGAAATTCGGGCAGAATGACATGATTTATTAAAAAAGACTCCTTTGTAAATTTTTGACTTGTTGTTTGGGCATTGTCAGTAATACAGGTGGGAACTCGACTTAACAACTGGTCACTTAGAGACCATTCAGAGTTATGACCAACTTTCCCAAAGTACTTACGACTCAGTTCAAAGGTTCTGACGGCCACGGCCCCTTCTGTGTTCACATGAATTTTGAGTGCTTGGCAACCAGCCTGACCAGGATTTATAGCTTTTTTGCTGAAAACCAGCATTTACTTCTGGTTTTTGGCAAAAATATGCTATAATGAAAAAAGGGTTCTCTTAACAACTGCAGATTTCCCTCATGACTGCATTTATTTACTTAACAACTGTCCAAAAAAGTTGTAAAATTGGGTTGGTCGCATGCTGTATGGCCATCACAACTTATGGACAGACTTCATTATGATTGTAAGTTGAAGGCTATCTATATCGCAAAGCGGTAATTTAAAGACATCATTCTATCCGCTAATGAATGGTTGACAAACAAATCTTGGAAATGTGAAGATTTTTTTTTATCTGAATGTGATATTCTATGACGTTGGCAGTATAGAAATTACTGTGGGCCATCAAAATGAGTATGTGTATGAGTGATAGCTCAATATGGTCCCCAAATACTGTTTTTAGGGGACTCATAATTACATGATACTGATGCCTGGATGCAGCTCATTGTAAGCTATAGTTATTTTGTCAATGAATAAATCACAGTTGCTTAGTATTTAAAATTCACTGAGTCGTAAACCATGCTTCACTATGTTAGTCAACCAATAAAATCCATGGAGATTTTTCTGTTCACATTTTATGTGATGGATGTGGACCACCAATTTCAAGCTACAAAGTATACTTTGAAGGGAAATCATCATGTTCAGAAATTGCCACTTTTCTACCTTCTGGTTGCTGGTCTTTTTTTTTCTTACACTTTGATGAATTGATGATGACCCAATCCAGTCTTAATGTAATAAAAAGGGGGCATTTGATTGAAAATGAATTTGGAGAGTGGAGGAGAGAAATAGGTGTTTTTTGTGGTTTAACAAGCATTTGTTTTTCTTATAAGCAAAATCATTTAGAACTGGATGTTATTCAAGTGAATCTACAGAGTTGTGTTTATCCATTTTCTTTGATTTTTAGGCAAAAGTAGACAATGAGATCCTTGATTATAAGGATTTAGCAGCTATTCCCAAAGTCAAGGCCATCTATGACATTGAGCGCCCAGATCTAATTACTTACGAACCTTTCTACACTTCTGCTTACGAAGAGAGACAAGAAAGGCAGAGCCTTGGAGAGGTAACGAATTGGAAGTTCAATTTGGAAACCAATTCACTTCTTATATGTAGTCTAGCTTCTGTTCTTCCTATAAACAGCTGATGCAATAGTCGAAATGCTTCATATTCCTCAACTTCTTGCTTCTTTGTAGCTTTGGAAAAAATGTGAGTATTGGATTCTGCTGCTTTACTTTCCTTTTTCATCAATAACTATGTGCGCAGGGATCCCTATCCCACAGAGCTCTTCCCTGTCACCTTCATGCACACGCTTGACTGGTAGTAGCCAGGAACCTTTGATTGTGAAGCACCTAGATGGGCATAAAATGTTCAGGATTTACTTTCCCTAGAAGTGGTGTAGATTCTTAAAGAAATACTGCTACGTGGGTAGAGCATCTGTGTGAGACATGAGCCGTAAAGTGGTGTCCAAGTACAAGAAAACATTATTGGAATTGTAAGAATGATGCTTGAGTTCATGTTTCAAAAAATCATTATTACTTTAGGTACATGAGTTCTCTGTGTTTGTACAGAAACCTTTTTAAAATTAAACTAGCTATATCAATTGAAGTGGAATAGCATTCATCCAGAGATAAGGATGTGGCCTTCTGGGCCTTTGTAGGACATTGAAGACATTGATATTCCTGCTTAGGCCAGGAAATGAACCAGATCTGTTGGCAGATTACTTTGTTTCAGTCTGTGTGAATTGAATATGGAATATTTGGACCCAGACAAAAACTATGTTTATGTATTATTATTAATGTGGGCTTTTCTTTATGTTAGGCTTATACATACATGAACAACAGAGAAAAGAAGAACTTTAGTAGTCATATAATTATCCTAAACATTTTGATCATATGATGTGTTTTCTTGGAAAGATTGTACCTCAGGTTCACTACACAGAAATGTTTTCACAGAGTGCCACCTAGTGGAAGCCAAGAAACACATAGATTTTATTTTGTTAGTGAACCTAAAACTCATTTAAGAATAAACAATTCTTAATGAAAAAACGTAATTATCTACCACTTTTGTGGTATAGCTCTGATCCATTTTGTCTTTGTTCACATTTACTCCTCAGGCTGCATTTCTTTTCAAGGGCCTCTAATTTATGCTCTATCTTTATTTCTGATTTTGATTGTGGTTGTGATTTTAATTTGTTGCTCATTTCATCCATTTCAATTATTTTTCTCACCTTGATTTTGTATCAGTCAGTTGTATTTTTGAATAAGCTTACTGTTGTTATGTAATGTAATTTTACTGCAAAATCATATGCAGTAAAAAAAGTGCAGACACTATTAGTAGAATATATGTTATTTCTATATGTGTTGGCAGGGTAGATATCAACCCAAACATACATACATACGTACGTACGTACGTACGTACGTACGTACGTACGTACGTACATATAGAAGTGCAGTTAATTTTTATACAGTGATTATAATAGGAATGATTGAAATGAAACCAAGAAGGTTTTAAGTGCATATTTATGTTTTCTTGGTACCTTGAACCAATAGCCTTTTCCTTTCTGGTGTTGACTTTCTTTCAGATCTGCTTTCCATTGTAAAGTATGCAATCCCAATTGTAAATTCAACCCCAGCTTGGATTTTGGAAAATTTGACTTAAATGAATCAAATAATACAAAATAACTTAGATTTTACTAGATTTCTTTATCTCCTCTGTCGTTGAAAGACTAACATTTATTCTAATTCTGCTTCTTTTGCTTTCATTGTGCATAATATTATCGAATAAGTGAAGTTTTGATAAGTACTGAATGTGTAAAAATAATATCTCACATAGTCCTATAATCTAATTTAGGAACATGTCATTAGATAGCCAAATGAATCATACTATGTTCCATTAGTTGGGTCATATATTATCGTTTCTTTCTTGTACTGTGTTAAGTCAGAGTAGGAAGAAAAATGCAATGGCTATGAAAGTGGATTAGATTGATCCCCACTATTACTCATAATAACTGAATATTTTCTCCCATATGGTGGGTGCTATGAGAACAAGAAGAATGGTCTTGGTTGTGGGATTGTATAGACATCTGGTTGGCCTCTGTAAAAAGAGGGTGCTGGGCTGAGATAGCCTTTCATCTGAGTCAACACACCCTTCATAATGTATTTAATACAATTCCTGCTAGCTCAGAAATTCTGGGAGTTGAAGTCCACAAGTCATAAAGGGCCATAGTTCCCCACCTCTCATTTAATACAATTGCATTACTCAGTTCTTCTCAGGAATATATCTGTGGGCTCTTCAGATGGTTGGACGCTAGTCACATTTTCTGCTTCTAGATGCAGTGAACTAAGGGCCAAACTCAATTGTGAATCTTCCTACTGAATTGATAAAATGTCCTTTACAAGTCAGATGTTCCGTTATAAAACAGGGCTACCAGTTATGAAAACCCTAATAGTTTACATATTAAGTATTAATTCAGTACAGGAGGAAATAATTAAAACCTGACCATGAAATATTCGGAAGATGGTAGATCCCAGATACTAGATGTCAAATATTAACAACATATTTTATTGTTCATTTTTATTATATTCTAGCTTGATTTATTCTTGAAGCCTAATGGGTTTTATATATAGTCTATATAGTATATAGTAAGGAGATTCAGCACTTTATTGTTTTCTATTAAAATAAATTTAAAATGAAGCAGCTATAATCCCATTTTTCCCCCCTCAGAGTTCAAGATACGGCAGTTCTCCTGTGCATGATGAAAGTGTAAGTTGAAAAAAGAGTAATGGACGATGATATAAAACAAATTGGCATTGGACAGTTTGTCTCTAGTTTGATTTATTGATTTATACATGTTATCTATAAATGCACTGAAGAGGGATCGTTAGATAAAATAGTAATATCTTTAAATCATAAGATATTAATTTATAACAAACTGCCCAGAGTCCCCTTAACAAGGCAGATGAGCAGCTTAAAAATGTAATAAATAAACAATCAAATAACTTCTAGACTATATGCATTCAGCATGGTAGGTGACAAGGTGTATAGATTTCGTATACACACAAAAGATGAAGATAAAGTTCAAATATGTTATTTTACAAGCAAGAGTTTATGCAACTTCTTATAAAACAAAGCTGCTAGCGATTCCATCTCTCAGGTTCTTATGAACTGTTGTGAAAGTTGCTCTAGATTAGAATCATTTGGTTAAACAGCATTTCTTGCCACTTGCCTTCCACAAGTTTTTTAAGAACCATTCTGAAAAACTGCAGTGTGGATTGAGCTGCAACAAAGATATGCGGTTAAACAGATATGCCAAACTTCATCACAAACTGAGGTTTTCCAGTGCATGTCTAAGAACTCATAAACCATAGGTGTATAAAATTTGACTTACATGCTATTTTTAAATAACTTTGGGCTATGGAAATCATAGAATGGTATTGCTAACTGTCTCTTTGCTTTCTGTACATCAGAAAACAAAGATGGTAAAGCTAAACAAATCTCATTTTGGTCTGAAATAGTCATTTTATTTGAGATCAGCAAGTAAATTTTGTAAACAGTGAGGACATTTTTGCCCAAGAAATGTCAAAACAATTATTCCTTTTTCTTTTTAAATTATACTGTCAAGATGAAGTCTGGCCATAATTTACAGAGAAATTCTTTTTAAATATGGCTTCGGTATCACATGTATTTGGTAAATTCCTAATAAAATTTCAAAATCACTGAAAGATGAAAGCCAATGAGTTACTGTTGTTTTTATTTTTAGTTTGTAGAACTACAGTAGTTACATTATTAATGTTTATGATAATCAAGTTTCCAATAAATAAAATCATTACTACGTCATTTATTAATCTTTGATTATATTAAGCACAAATTAGCATTCATGTAGCCCTAAACTCAAGCAGTTTCTTGTATCCATAAATCTGACTGTCAGAATTCTGTTGGAAATCTCTTAATTAAATTGGATGAAACAATCTTTCTCATGAAATTATCAATTATCTTTCAATATTTATGAAATATTTGAGTAAAATGTCTTACCTGTAATCTCCTTTCTGCTTTGTCTTTCAGTCACCAAGGACACTATCTCCAACTCCGTCTGCAGAGGTAAGTTTGATGAATATGTGCTGTATATGACCAATCAAACTTTCTGTAACTTCGTTAAATTGACTGCTGTATGATGGTGAGATAACAGTTTTTGTAAAAGAAAAGTAGTAGACGAAGCCCTCTCTCAATTCTATTTGTGATTGTCCTGTTAACAGTCCTTCCATCACAAAGAATGTTTCCTTATTTATGATCTGGTATGATACAAGTAGAGAAGCATTTTTGGAATAACATACTGTACCTGCTAAGCATGAGTGGAAGATACAGCATGAGTAGGAGCTTTATCAGATCATCTGCTATAACACATACAATATTTTCTTCAGGGTTATCAGGATTTTCGAGATCGAATGATACACCGGTCAACCAGTCAGGGTTCCATTGGTTCCCCTGTATACAGTCGTCATAGCTACACTCCCACCATGTCACGTTCACCACAGCATTTCCACAGACCTGGTAAGGATAATGCAATCATAGAACCAAATTTAAGAAACGATCATTATTTATCTTTTGGAATTACTAGGAAAGGGATCTACTTCTTTCAATTGCAAAGCTATTTATTCATTATAAATCTGTGTTTCCTTTTCCTTCTCACTCTTGGTTAAGTGGATCTTTAGTTATTGTAGGAGAATAGGAATATTAGCTAATTAGAAATTAAATAGTTTCCTAAAATGGATTTATATTATTTGGGTCAATAATTAATGAAGAGGACATAGGAAATTAAATTTCTCTAGTTTCTTTCACCAACAGCATTTTGAATTTTAGGTTATGGGCATTTTTAATAAAGTCAGAGTTTCTGATTTTTTAAAATATTCCTTAACATAACTTCTCATTGTTTGATCATGAAAATGTAAAACTATTCCATTTTTTAAAAGTCTTTATTAAACTCTAGAGGAAGGAAGTTACAGTATTGTATTTTTTAAAAAAGAGGAAAGAAATATTTTTTTTAAAAAAAAGTTGTCAGGGGAAGCAGTTTCACAGCTGAAATGTCAGATATGCATACAGAAGTAAAGCAATCCATGAGTCAAACTCAGTTTCTGGTGATCTTGGTAATGTTATGAGAGTTGCCTATCTTTGCCTTTTTCTGTGATATTTTTTTCAACTACTCAATTTAGTAAACAAGACTACTTAAACAATCCCGCATCCAAGTATTATTAGAGTCAATTTAGTTTAGATTTCACGACCTGCCAAAGTCATATATCTACTGTCACCGTGATTCAACTAGTTCTCTTCTGTTACACCTGGGCTTTTCTTTTAGAAATATTCTGCATCAATATTAATTTTGCAATTTGTTAATATACAGTATGTTAATATTAAATAACCATTTGAAATTTTACTTTATCTTTAAAACTAACATAACAATATAAAGTTAATACTTTTTGAGAGATTTTAAAATTGTGATGATATTATAGGAAGTCAATTGGCACCATGAACAATTTTACACCCTCAGATTTTATTATTTTTCCAGATATTATCTTTGGTGAAGAAAAATAAATTCAGATTTCAGTAGAAAGAAAGCTTGTCTTTAAGAATGCCCGCCTACCTAAAATACCTATATTCATGCTTTTGTAAGCCTCTGAACTCTACAGTTTCATTCTGATTTATTTCCTGAAAGTTTTCTTCTGGTAAACCAAGTAAAAAGTTATAGTGATTAGAACTTATATTTTATTTTTTAATATGATTCTTCTTTAGTGATTATATTATATTAACATTTTCATTAGAAGAACATTTTGTTATTGTTGAAATTATTTGTTTGATATGTATGGCCACATATTTGCCAAGCAACTATAGCTTTTCTTCTATTAGCACAACCTATAACAAACAACGTAAGCTTTCATTTGTAATTATTTGGTCTAATTCTTCCTCAGATAATTGTTCCTTGGAAAATAAGTTAAAAAAGAGAGTTGCATGAATGCCAATTCTGCCTCGTTTGTTTGTATATAAGGAAATATGGATTTAAGTTGAAGCGAAGGTATATTCAATGTAAATCTGATTTTTCCACGTTTCTTCCTATGAATTTTTCCTGCAGTAAGAAACCTCTTTCATTTCCTTTGTGTAGTCTTCAGATTCCTACTTATGAGAGCTTGTCCCTGTGTTTCCCTCAGCCTCTAGCCACTTTTCCTGCTTCTGTCTTATTTGGTCTTCTCTTTTCTTTGTTTCTGCTTTGTCCTGCTTCATGAATCCTTGCTGCCGCAGAGCTGTTGTCTAACGGTGTGCAGCGGTTAGCCCTCCTACGCACTAATAACCCAATCTCTACACACAATGATTCCCGCCCCTACTCCCCTTTCCGACACCACTTCATTCCCTATGTCAAAGGTAAGAAGACAGGCCATTCAAGCTAGTGTCCAAATGACTGGAGATTTATTAGCATTCTAGGGAAGCTAATAAACCACATCTCCATAAGATGGCTGTCCACTCTGTGGTCCTAGCATGCTCAGATTTTTGTCATAAAGATTATGCTAGACCTGGCATATCTTCTTTTCTTTGAGAAAGTATGTCCTTTCTAAGGGTCCTCCATAAATGAAGTGGTTAAGATTTCTTAAGAAAATGTGACTGCTTGAGAACTGAGATATTTATCATTTTTTTGAGATTAATTTGGAAACTATTGTAGAAAATTCATCTCTGTTTTCAAACACACTGATATGATCCACATTTTCCTAATCTTAAAGTCCCAGACCACATACTAGTTATGCATGAATTTAATGGGTATCTTGCATATATACCAGCTTCCAATATAGATTTACATAGATATATATGTATGCATATATGTAAGAACAGTTTCCTGTTAAGTCTCCAAAAATGTTATTTCAAATTTTTGGGATGAATGCTATGTTTAAATGTGTCCTTTCATCCCATACACTTGCCATATCAATAGTGGAGCATGCTTATATTGCAAATTTTAATCTCTAATGTAGAAAGATGCTTACATTGTGTCCACAACAATTGTCAATGATTCTCTAGCATTTCAGAAAAGAGGGGATTTTTTTAGCTGTACTTGCAAGTTTCACAAGGAAATCTGTGAACTTGTTTATGGAAAATATGTATTCTAACACAAAACCATGGCCTTTCGTACAGTGATGTGTAGGTCAGTTGACACAACATTTCATCATCTAAGACTGATATATTTTAACTTAACACCTACATTTTGAGAATTCTTTGATTCTTTTCCAATTGTTTGCTCCATCCACCACTTTGAGCTTCCTAAACCTAGTTTCCCTTAATAACTGTTACATCACCTAGTCCCTGTATTCAGCATTACTTTCTCAGGAATGGTTAAACAGTAGAATTGGCTTAATTAATAAAAACGAAACAAGTTTTAAATGCAGGCCTAATCATGCATGCTTAACCTTCCAAAAGCAAATGAAGCAATAAATATGTCAGTATACATGGATCTCAATCTCCTAATTATGCTAATATAAAATACAATTGCAACATTCTCACTTTGTTTCACTCATGAGGTCCCTTAAAAACAGAGGCACAGCTCATGTTTGCATGCACTTGATGCATAAATTCTACTTTTACATTTCCATGTTTATTTCATGCTTTTTAAGGCATTCTTCTGTCATGGCAAAGCTTCAAGATCAACTCATAATTACCATTTTCTGAAAAGTAAATCTATCTGAAAGACTGAATTTGTCATTTGGGTTGATATTTCAAATTCAGGGTATGGGGAGGAAAATATATGCATCCAAGTGAATTAAGTGGAATTAAATTGGGAGTATTTCATCAGTGAAAGATCTCCATTAGTGGAACATACTTTCTAAAACTATTCATGTATTTTGGAAGATTACTCCCTTCCCAATTCACTGATGTAAAAAATCTGCTGGAAAATTATTGACTGTATTATGTACAAGGGCAATTCGGACATTAGCAGATACAGAACTTTTATTATACACATTAGAAAAATACAGCATTACATTACTCTTTGACATAATCGTCATTCAAATTGAGGCACTTCTCATAACGTCTTACAAGATTTGAAATTCCTTAGTAGTAGTAGCTCGGCACCAAATCTGGGCTATGGGGGGTGGTGGTCAAAAACATCCCAACAGAACTGCTTCAAAAATTCTTGGGTGCATCTAGTGGTGTGCAGGCGAGCATAATTGTGAACCAACACCATACTGGAAGTCAGCATGCCTCAAAGCTTGTTATGGATGGCTCATCTGAGTTTTCGTAACGTTTCACAGTAGACTTCTGAATTGATGGTCGAACCACGCTCCATGAACTTCACTAGCAGTACTCCTTTGGCATCTTCATTTCCTTTGGCGGGATTTTCTATGGCACCATTTCCAGTGTGGTGTTAGTTCATGTTAATGCTCGCCTGCACATCTCTAGATGCACCCAAGAACTTTTGAAACAAGAACTATTGGAATGTTTTTGATCACCCCCTCCCCCATAGACCAGATTTGGCGCCAAGTGACTACTAAGGAATTTTCAAAGAGGCAAGTGCCTCAATTTGAATGGCGATTATGTCAAAAAGTAATGTAATGTTGTAGTTTTCTAATATATATAATAAAAGTTCTGCAAGTGTCTGTCATTGATAACCAAATGGAGGTTTATTTCTGAATTGCTCTCGTATGTCATAGTTACTTCAAAGAATTGTGAGAATGTGTATGAACATCAGTGACTGTTACTTTCTTTTCATTTCTGGCAGCTTCAACTTGGACTGCTTGGAAATTTGCTTCTGCGCATTGTTAATAGTGATGGTTAGGAACCTAGCATTAATTTTGCAATTATGCTAAGTAGTTTCATAATAGTTATATAGCATATCTCAAAATATAAGGAGTTTTTTCTCCTAGGAATTCTTTTCAACCAGCTCAACCAGTTTCAAATTAGGAACACTAACCGCTGAATTGATCCCAAAAAACATAGGATCCATGATTTCCCTGCAGGTCATGATGTTATAACAGAAAATATTGTTACTACTTAATTACTAAACATTTAATGATACTTTGTTTCTCTTGTTTTAGAAGTTCTGCTTTGGACCTTCTGTTTTCATTTACTGCTTTTCGTGTTAGCTTAACTCTTCATTTGCATCTTACTCTACATATTTTAAATTGAAGTACAATATTCCAAAACATGCAGTGTGCTGTTCTAATTAAGGAAATAATTGTGTGCTTCCTGGACAGATCATAATAGTGGTGATGTATATTAGAATCTATTCTTGAATCAATAGTGTGTCATTTACATTATGAACTTGAAACCAAGATTATTTTAGCATAGCTGCGGGACATATCACAGGTGTAATATTTAGATGATGTAGTTTTTCTACGTGTATTTAAAGAATGAGAAATATTAGTCCCCTACCCCATCAAACTCAACCTTTTGTAGAAGAATAATATCTTGAAGGAAACCAAATATATCAAATAAGTCCAAGCTTCATGATTTCTAACCTTAGGAAATTCATATGCACTTGAGATGCCTGCACCATCCTGGAGGGTTTTGTTTTTAGTGCTGTAGACAAGAATGCAGTAAAGATGTAAATGGGAAGAGTTTGGCAGGCACATCAAGAGAATTATTTAATGCAATTGTGATTCTCACAAGCCATGCTTCAGAGTCAAGTCAAAGCAAGTGCTGGCTGGTGGTCATCAAGAACTGGAACAACTTCTTTTTCTCTAGGTAAATATAAGAGCAAAAGAAACTAATTCTGAAATATTTGCTAAACATGAAGAACTGAAAGAGTTTGTGGCTTCCATGTTAGCAACTTGTGCATTACACCCAAAAGACCTTACAATACACAATTGAGCTGATCTTAATTTTAATTTTTAATACAAATACTTATATTCTACCATTCAATGCTTGACAGCATTAAAAGCAACATACCAACAGTGGAAACAAATGGCTAAGTCAAGTTTTTGTCTATTAACTTGAATATTACAAATTAAAGTTATATTTATCATTTATCCACAGCTCAGTTTTTAAGCTAGTTGGTAATGAGAGGGTATCAGGAAAATCTAAAGAGGTACTCAAGCTTCCGTTTTATTTCTGTTGTTTATTTCTGTTGTTTAACATTGTTAGTCACCTAGAGTTATTAACTTGAGATGGGCAGCCACATAAAGTGAATGAATAAACAAACAAACAAACAAATCAAATATTAGATTTTTTTACATGCAGATTTTTTTAAAAAAAATCGCATAAGCAAGTGAACAGAGACAGAATACTCCATGAGTATATTCTATGAATATGGGTCAACAGTGGAGTTCCCCAGGTGTATGGGGGGGGGGGGACTTCAACTTGCCTTCTCTGGGTTTGAAGTAATACAAGAGTTCTTGATGACTACGATAATCATGAACCTGGTCCAACTTGTTGATGGTTCTATTCATGCAGGGAGTTACACATTAGATTTGGTGTTTGCCTCAGGGCAGGGGCATTATGATCTGGATTTGGGAGACATTAAAATCATTCCCTTGCCAAGTACAGATCACTCTAATCCTAGAATTCTCCATAGCTGCCCTACCACCACAGGGGGATGGAGCCTATTCAGTTGGCTCACCCCAGTGCCTGATGGACCCAGTATGAGCTTGGGATTTTTCAAGAAATTCTGACACATGTCTTGGCAGAGGCCCTGGTTGCAGCTTGGAATGAGCAGGTAACAAGACCTTGGATTTAATTGTAGCTATGTGGATGTCTGTGGATGTGAATTTGATATGACAACATAGTTTACTGAGTAGCTCCAAAAAATAAAGCAACATAAGAGATGCCTAGAGGGCTGCTGGAGGAAGATAGAGGCTAAGCACAGGTGAGATCCTGTATTAGGACTTACCTTGTGGCAATAAGGTTAACAAAGTATATCTTCATCCTTATTGCCTCTGCAGATAACTGCTGAGCAGTTCTGTTTCAGGTGACCAAGTCCTCCTGGGTAAGGAAGAACTGTGGGAGTCCCTGCAGTGCTGCTGTGAAAAATATTCTTGGCAACTATCAGACAAAGTTGCTCATCTTCACTGTGAGTTGGATTTTGGTAGGGAAATCCTTTGAAAGTGACCGAGACACTTTGTATGCCTTGTGATCTGGGAAGAGTTTGAGCCAGTTGAATCTGAGGAAGTGGACAGAGGTCTTGTGGCTATGAGCTTGGTTCCCTGTGTTCTTGACCAATGCCCCTCGTGATTGATTAAGGCCTCCTAGGAGCTGACATGCAATTGGGTTCAAGCAGTGGTTAATGCGTCTTTGTGAGAGGGAATGGTACTGCCTGCCTTAAGAGAGTGTTCGTGTGACCCCTTCTCAAGAGGGCACCCTTGAACTCAACGGTGCTAGACAATTTTCATCCAGTCTCTAACCTTCTCTTTTAGCGATGGTTTTTAAAGTGGTAGGTGGTGTGCAGGTGCAAAGGGCCCTGGATGAAACACATTATCTGAACTCATTTCTGGATTCAGGCCAGGGCACTGAAATGGCATTGGTCATACTTGTCAATAATTTTTGGAGAGCTCAGGATAAGGTGGTGCAACAAACTCCTCAGTGGCTTTCAGTACCATCAAGAATGGCAATCATCTAGGCTTTAGGGGTTGGGAATGGGATTACTGTGTTACAGTGATTCTCCTCCTTCCTTTATGTTCCAATCGGTGTTGGGATGGGGAGGAAAGGTGAAGCCCTAGGTCCTTGCATTGTGGAAGCCTTAGAGCTCAAGTCTTTTGTCTTTTTTCTTTAATATGAAACTGCTGGGGGAGATCATTTGCTCTTCTGGTATTGGCCAAGTGTCTGCAGACTGTAACAGTCTGGTTGAGAAGAAGCCAGCTTCAACTCAAACCTGGCAAGAGGGAGCAGCTCTGGGTTTTCAGCTCCCCAGGTGATATTTCATCTTTGTCTTTGGTTGAGGTGGCACTTCCCTGGGCTGAGGTGTGTCCTCTTAGTCTCATGATTCTTGCTTAAGGAACAGGTTGTAACTATGGCTGGGTAGAGGAGACTTTGCACAATTGTCTAGTGCACCAATTATGTCCCTTTTTGTACTATTAGGCCTTGCTTATGCTCACTCATGACTTGGTCACTTCCTGTTTGGATTACAGCAGTATGCTCTACATGTGGCTGCTCTTTAAGTCCACCTGATCCAGAATGTGGGGGTGCATGCAGTGATGTTAGGTTTAGCCACGTTATACCCCTGTTGCATGAGCTGTACTAGCTCCCAATTTCCTTTCCCAGTGCTGGTTCTTTCTTTTAAAACCCTAAAAGATATAAGATCAGGTTAACTAAAAGACATCATCTCCCCAAGGACATCTGCCCACCCTATCAGTTTGGATAGGGTGGGCATGCTCCTAATCCCTACCCTTAAATATTGCCATTTTATGGACCTAGGAAATGTGTCTTTTTTGGGGGGGGGGAAATGTGGTAGCCTCTGCCCTATAGAACACCCTTCCCACTGAAGTTTGGCAGGCTTCCACCCTTTTAGCCTTCCTAAAAGCACCTAAGACCTGGCTTTCCCCCCAAGTCTTTGGATAGGGTGAGATTTAGAAGAAGACTTTGTGGTGGACTGCATATAAAAGTTTAACTGTGTGCCAAATTTTGATATTTGTGGTTTTAACATTTTTATTGCACACGTATGTTATTTTAGCTAGTGGTGGTGAGCTTCCCAGGGTTTGGTACAAGATGGAGAGCTATATAAATATTTTAAATAAATAAACAAATGTCTACGCAATCCTATTGCATTGCAAGCCAGAAGTTGGGGGACTTTGTTATTTGCAGTGATCTTTCTTAAGAGAAGGAACTCTTTCATGTAGCTGCATGAAATCTAAACATGCTTGGAGTCAAAGAAGATATTACTTGTTCATCATTTTGTACCTATACTTTGGAAATGGATAAGTGCACCACTAGAATCAGCCATGCAGTTGATAGGAGAGAAAAGCTAGTTACGTGTTTTCTTCCCAAAGCTTTAGAAGCTGCTACTTAAACACTTCGTCATTGTTGTTTCTTTTTAGAGCTGACCTTACCATTTGGCAGAGTAAGAATCTATCCCAAGATTTGATTTGGCTGCCTTAAGCAGGGTAACACTTATATAGCCATAGATGTAGATACATGATACTGATATTTCCAGCAAAATGAAGGCATCTCTTATCATTATCTATGTCCCTGTAATAAAAACTATTTTCCGCTTTAAGTACTGTTCGTATATGTCCTGCCTTGACGGGGGATAGACCAGAAAGATTCAAAGCATTTACTCTTCTGTCTCAGGCAAGAAAATGTTTGGGCCAGCCTTGCTTCCCCGGAAGCTTATCTGGAAATGATTCTCCAGTTGAACAAAATGTATCTCCAATGAGGAGTAATGTGGTTTAAATTAATAAGGAATGAACAACTGCACCAGACATTAACTGGAATAACTTGTAGCCTCTTTGCTCATTTTTCATGTGTGATTATTTTAAGTACGGGAGCTTCTTTTGCATGAGAATTAACTTGGACACCAACTTGATTTGCATTTTGTCTAGCAATAATTTTGCCAAATGTTGTTACTTGTATACTGAAGCATTTAAATCCAGTAATTCCATTTGTCTTTTTCTATTCCTTTTCACATCTCATCTGTGTAATTTAAATGCATGGTATCTTTATGCATGCTATTGGTATGAGTGAGTGAGTGAGTGAGTGAGTGAGTGAGTGAGTGAGTGAGTGAGCGAATGAATAATATAATGCAAGCTGCCAAATTTCAGCCTAAAACGAATGACTTCTTTAATATATAATAGCAGTGCCTTACAATACTAGCCACATTTCTTAACTCTCCTGTATATAGTTTGTTTTTCCTTCTCTGATTTTCCCTTTGCCATTGACTTTTGGTTGGGTTTTTACTTATGCCTGCCTCTTTACTGCTCTCTTTGTTTTGTTTGTTTGTTTGTTTTTCCATTCTCCTCATTGGAGGCAATGAGCCGTCCAGCGGTCGGAATTCCCCGGCCCCTTATCGGCCCGACAGTCGCCCTCTAACACCAACTTACGCTCAGGCCCCTAAACATTTCCATGTTCCAGGTAGGAGTGGCATTGTGTGTCTTGGTGTCTTGTCCGAGTGTAGACTGTAGTAGCCTTTGTAACTCTTTGTTTTTGTCTCCATCACTGCATGCTGTTTAGTTATTTTGAACTTGGGATATACCCTAAACTGGTTTGAAATCCAGACTTGTTTCTTTAATTTGGGAACAATTAGAAAATGCTGGATATGGGGAGATTTTTAGTTATAAAATTAATATTTCTCCAAATTATAACAGAGCAAACAGCCATACATAGTGGTTTAGTTTAGCTGCAAAGCCCAATTTTTTTTTCTTGTTTGTCTCAGAGTTATACTATGTTGCTATTGGCTAGTATTTTTAACAAAGGACAAGATACAAGATGCAGTCCTAAGCATACTTGAAAGAAATTAAACATTATCAGCTTTTCTTATAAATTTTCAAAAGTAAAAAGGAAACTAAGAATAATAAAAGGAAGAATTTACATGAACACCATCTCAATAATAACATTAATTATTCAGTTAGTCTTATCTATGTACATATCATTTGCAATTGATTGGTTTACATGATCTTAGAAAAAATAGAAAATTAACAATACATACTGGTATAAAGAGACAAAACATCAAAATAGGCCTCTGCTGAAAATCCCACAGCAACAGAATGTTTATCAGTATCAATGTCAAAATGGAGGTAAGTTCTTCATACCTTTATATCTTTGTATACTTGAAAAAGAAGGGGTATCCTTCATTCTTATGGGGGTTTTTTGTTATCATTGGTAAGTGCAATATCCATTTTATTTGTCTTCTGGTCAGTAACCACACAATTAGTGCATAGTTTAAAAAGAACGGGAGTCTTCCAATTAAAAACCCTCAAATTAATAGCTAGATACCTTTTTGTAAAAGGGAGCTACTGTAGTGCCCAGGCACACCCTGTGACTCAGTGGGGCAGTTGATCACCTCCTCTCCACAAGAATTAAGACTTTCTGTGGTTTGTCAGTCACTTTCAATCAATATAGATGTGACACGGAGAGGCCAAGATATCCTTCCATTTAATTTTGATATGTTGATATTCTAGATTTTCTCTGTACCTTTGCATACTTAATTTAGTGTAACCTATTAACTATTTATAAATAATACTGTAGGCATATTATTTAAATGTCAGATAGCTAACAGAGATTTCTGAAGTACTTAAAACTGTAGGACTACCTTCTTGATCAGCATATTGCATTTCTCATTATTCCAAGAATCCCTAAGAAACAAACTGGCAGGCTGACACAATTATGGAGCACCCATGGAACATGGCAGCAGTGATCAGTTCTCCAGCATGATTAAGAAGAATCCACCAATGGGTTATCTTAGTCCTACTGCCCAATCAGACCAAGTTGTCAAGTTGTCACGCCTCCTCATTATCTGGGGACCTCCCAGTTTTCTTCTTGGTCTTTGCCCATTACAGACGTGATTTCTTGACTCTCTCTATGTTGGAGCAGGTCTGATAGAAAATTTACTCATTGGTGGATTCTTTAAAAGAGTTTAGCAGCTTAGTTGAGAGTTTTGTTTTCCCCTCTGTAAGGATTTGCTGCATTCCCCTCTTCAGGGTTAGGTTAAAACTTTCTAAGGAAAGGGGGGGTGGGTTTTTCACTTCCCCAGATTCAGTATCCTGCTGAATCAGCAAACAAACCTCACCCTACACAGTGGGGGGGGGGAGGTTTAATCTATACGCATTTCAAAGGTGTTGTTAAAAAAAAAGATCTCAGTTTCACGTGCGCGGTTCCTTGTTGCTTTTCAGTTTTGCAGCCTTGTGGCTTCTCCCTAGCCGGGCTCGGCTAGGGACTCTTAGCAGCAGCCATTTGAATTTCAAAAGGCCTAATCTCACTTCTAAACACCTTTTTACTGCTGCAACAAAGGAAAGCCCAACATGGCCTTAACAATCACCTAAAGCCACTGTGGAAGCATTAGGAGCCTCGTGGGGCAGCAGTAAAGCTTTTTGCACCTAACGGCTGTTAGGCACAAACCCCTGCTTCTCGGGCCAAAGCAGATTCCAATTAGCCTCATTTGTGGCAGTCACTGGCCCCTTGCAGTACAGCATTAATCCCTCACACACACCCCTTCTTTACCCCCCTCCCTCCTGGTATTCCCTCCAAGGGAACGTTCACAGAGCCTGCCATTTGGAGGCTCATTCCCCCTGGCAGTCACCATTTTGAATTAAAAATAATAATAATAATAAAATAATAAATAAATAAATAAATAAATAAATCTAAATTGAATGCAATAACGGGGGTGAACTACAAATGTTAATTGTATTAAACTAGATTGATTAACAAAATTGCTGGCTCCTTCATCTGAGTCTCAGTTTCAGCCATATCCTGATCCATGCACCTGTGAGCAAGAGTGTGGTACCAATAGCAGCTCTGGTTCTTCAGCCTGGTCGCCATATTGCCTGTCTGCCCTTCTGCATCTGGTGGCTGTTCCACCATCCTGACCATCGCCACTACTGTGGGACACGTGTGATTCTTCTCCACCCAATCCACGTAGGTCAGTCCCCCGAGGGGGCCTCTGACGTCCCTTGCAGAACGAATCAGGCCAAAGGCAACCTTGGGTTGATTTCGATGGAAATGGCAGACCCTTCTGAGCCACGTTCCTTGGATATGGACGTCATTCCTGCCTCAACTGAGCTGACACCCGAGCCTCCATCAGGTAAGGCGAGATCCAAGTCTAAGCACGGCAGGAAAGCTGGCACGGCGAGCGACAAACTGGCTGAATGCACCCACAGAGCTCTGGAGAAGCAATTCTCCCGGGCTCAACGCTTGTCTGCTGAAGGAGGTCTCACTTTGCCAACCTCCATACCACCGGACAGGGGAGAGCCTCAACCATCCACATCCAGAGTATGGTCGCCGGAGACGGGGTATCAACAGGTCCCAACTCGGACTCTTGGTCAGGTAGGCCCACCCGTGTTTGGGGAGAACTTTGCCTTGCCAGGTTCATCTGCAGCACCCACTGCTGCCAGCACACCACCTGCTGTGGGGTTAAGGCTTCCGCTAGAGCAGTCCGTCTCCGACCAGCTCCAAATGTGGATATTACAGGCAGTGTGCCAAGCTATGGCATCAGCGAGTCATCAACAAGCCCCTCCGTTCCAGGACCATCCTCTTCTTCAGCACCAACAACTGCCGTGAGGCCTCCACTGGATCAGTCAGGTATGGTCTCTCCCTCCCAATCCCCTGATTCGGACCCGGATGTTTCAGATTACGGGGGAGGCAAGGATGGTTGGTTGGATTGCGAGGAACCATCTTACGAATCCCAACCCATGGCAGAGCTTTTTAATGCTTCGCTATTTCCGGCTTTGTTACACAGAGCATGCAAGGCAAGTAAGCTTTCCCCTCAGTCGGTACCAACCCCTCAGCCTTCCTCCGATCAGGAAACCAATCCTTTGTTTGCTGTGCCTGTAGACACGCACCTCCATATCCCTTGTCCACAGCTGTTCTTCCAAAATGTGCAGGATCAGTGGGAATCACCAGCAGCCCAGCCATCTCAAAGCGCATCTGAGCGCAAAATGGTAGACATGCCTAAGGCATTCGGAGACCTACTAGAGGTTCCAAAAGTGGATGAATCGCTGGCACCGCTTTTCTCCACTGCCAGCCTTCCAGCTGATGTATCCGATGCCCTTAAGGCAGAGGATAAAAAATCTGAAATGGCCTTATGCAAAGCGCACTTGGCATCTGCCTGGGCTGTGAAGGCAGCGATGGCCACTTCCTTCTTTGCAAGAATCTCTATCACCTGGCTGCGTCAGCTGCAGGATAGAATCCAACTTGAGGAAACTAGAATGCATCAGGATCTAACAAAAATACTTGCCACATCCGAATATATGGCCGATGCCTCTCTGTATTCAGCCAAACATTCAGCCCGAGCTATGGCTTCCAACGTGGTAGCTAGAAGACTCCTGTGGTTAAAAAATTGGAGGGCCGAAAGTAAGCATAAGTGGCGCGCAGCCACAGCCCCTTTCAAAGGTGGCAAATTATTTGGGGATGCACTAACACCGTACTTAGTTGAAATAAACAGAAGCAAAAGGTGATCTCCCACGTGGCAAAGAGTTCCACAAGACGGTTCACCCCTTACAGTCGCCGGTAGCTCTTTCGAGCAGGGACAGCAACAGAGTCGGCACAACCGTACCGACCGGTCGCTCCCAAACAGGAGCGTTCACTGGACAGGACAGGTTATAGAGACAGGTCCAGGTACCAGCCACAACCCAAAAATTCCTTTCGTGGCCGAGGGGGTTGGTCCTTCCGCCGAGGCAAATGACTCTGAGGGAAATCCCCCCATTGGCGGCAGGCTCACTCACTTTACTCGCCAGTGGGAAAACACGACCACAGACTCCTGGGTGTTGCGTACCATAAGGGAAGGCCTGTCCCTGGAGTTCAAATCCATTCCTTTCAATCATTTTGTGTCTTGCCCAGCCATGAGAAACCCAGTAAAGAGGGGACTCATGGAGGACGCTATACAGCATCTTCTAGCCATCAAGGCGATAGAGGAAGTTCCCCCAAGCCAGGCAGGGCAGGGATATTACTCAATCCTGTTTGTAGTCCCAAAGTCTTCGGGGGGATGGAGGGCAATCCTCGATCTCAAGGGATTGAATCTTCACCTTCATTACAAACGGTTCAAAATGCAAACATTGCACTCCATCCTAACCAGTATCAGGCGGGGAGATTTATTAACATCCATAGATCTGAAGGAGACATACCTCCACATCCCTATTCTCCCAGCTCATCGCAGGTACTTAAGATTCTGCTATCTCAACCGCCATTTTCAGTACAGAGCCCTTCCTTTCAGCCTCTCTTCAGCCCCCAGGGTCTTCACCAAAATCCTGGCAGTGTTGGCGGCTCACTTGCGGCTGGTCCCAGTCAGGGTCCAATGCTACCTGGACGATATCCTGATCCAGTCCCTGTCAGTCTCAGCCGCCCATTCGGATTTGACCCTCACTATACAGACTCTTCAGGCCCATGGCTTCCTGATCAACTTCAAAAAGAGCCAGATGAAT